TATATATATATATATATATATATATAAACCATCCGCATAATGATGAAGGGCGGAAGTTTCTGGTCAGGCTGCATGTGGGGCAGCATGAAAGTTCGTTTTTTTTTTGTCGTTTGGCTGGCTGTGCCGAGGTGTGTGGAGTGTGATGGACAAAGAACGAGCAGGTTCCATTCAGTTCAGATGCATGCCTTGACTTCAGTTGAGGACGTCAAGTTCAGTTCCATTGATTCAGTTTAGTTGCATGGTGTCAGTTCAGCTGCATCCATCGAGCTCATGAGCCAAGTACAGCCTTCCATTGCCAACCGGCTCCTCAGTAGAGAGTACTTGCATGCTTGTAGCGGCCACCCAGCCGGCCTCGGTGGAGTACGCGTACCATGTATCACGCCTACATCTGCACTCAAGCCAGCTTGCATGCAGATGTAGCAGTGCATGTAAATACGCAAATGCATTGTATACATCGATGTATACAATGCATTTGCGTACTACATACACATTGTCTTGCACGCAGAGCGAAGGGCGGATTATTGGGTTGTCTATTGGGAAATCTACGGCCGCATTATGTTCGTATTCTGAAGGCTAGAGAACAGTATCCAGTACCAGGTACTGGATAGTGTACATATACTAGAGATCTGCTCGCCTCAACTACGCAACTACAGGAACGGTGCACCCACGGAAGTGCATGCATTGCAGAATGCAGGTGCCATGAAACAGCTACAGCCAACGCCCCAGAGCAGCGAGAATTTATAAAAAGTCATCCATGGGCTTCAACTAACATATCGCCACTCCGCCCGTTTCGATTTGTTCCCCTCTACTGCAGCGCTCAATAATACTGAGCACGGCAGCAGAAACAGAAATGGGGCTTACTTGGAACTGCCTCTACAGGCACCCGCGCGAAGCCCGGGAACGTGCCCAAAATGCATCCATGAAGTATCCACAACAGGGCTACGCCGCTGTAAGGAACGAATATCTAGAAGGAGAATGAGGGACTCCCGTTAATTATTTCCATCAAACATTCGCTCCCCCGATTGTTAAGTACGACTCCAATGTGTCACCCTAATGAGGATCCACACGAACAATGCAAGCATTTCGAGTACACAGAATCAGCAGTGCGCGTAGTGTGAGCCCGATGTGCTGCATGATGCATACAAACCTTGCAAGCACAACCAACAGTGTCCATAATAAATGTCCATGAGTACTGCATACAAGTAATTTGGGAAGTACCCTTAACCTACCACGCGGAGCTGAAGGCAGGTCGATCGGTCGTGTAGAAGACCTTTGCGTGTCAAGGGGAAAACAATGGGCGCCTCTTGGGAAACCACTTTGCATTGCAGACCCCAAGCTCGCTGCGCAGCCGCTCCAGCTGTACCTGCATATGTATGTCGCATACAGCGGGCCCCACACGAAACGGATAGCGAAGAAATATTGTGCTCTTATTAACCGAATACGCCCTATTCGTTTGTCAGTACCGCATAGACGAAGAACTGCCCGGTCTGCTGCATGCTTGAAATACGAGATAAGATGCAGTCACGCAGCAGCCTTTACCTTCTTGCATTGCTCGGTACAGAGACCGCCTGACGAGCAGATCTATACCGGAGTACTCCGTGGATTCATGATGTAATTCTGGTTCCAAGCATTCTGCACGCGCAACCCAGGAGGAGGCGATACGAAATACTAACCATAGACCCTCACGGAACCGTCCCGCCCACCACCACCAAGGAGCTGATGAAAACGCAGGATTGCTTCCCTCGCAACCTCGCAGCAACCTACCAGCCCTCTGCAACCTTTCGGTGGTCATGTGCCGGTATTGATCGCCGTCGAACCACTCAGTATACTGCAGTTCCAAGCTGCATCCTTCATATAAGCCCTTAGACGCTGCATCGAAAGCTCTCGGCCCCGAGAGGACCCTCGGCACCCTTCTGGCGATGCTAATAGGGAACCATTGTATCGAAGACACATCAGACGCCCCTATGCCGTTTGAGAGAACAACTGGCACTTCCACGAAATCCCCTACACATACAGGGCCCAAATGAGACGACACTGCCTGCCCGGTCTCATCTCCGTGAAATCTGCACATGTCCCGATGCAGCCACAGCCGCCGTTTGCTTGCAGCAGGCGCAACGGCAACAGAAAACATGGGTGCTTCTCTCCGATGCTCAGTTGCCTCCCCCAAAGCCTGAACAAACATCAACAGAAAGCTCAGAAACGGACGAACTGGAATGAAGCAGTGTGTCTAGCTGAAACCACTCTAGCTGCCTCCACCACCACGATTGCTACCCCACGCGGCCACGAGACACTCCTAATTCTTCCTTGAGTTCAGACAGCTTACGCAGCTTGGGGGCCGTATGATAGCTCCTGGGCTCTGGCAACCCCCTTGCAGTCTACGCAGATAAGATCTGCTAGACATCAAGGAGATTCCGTCAGCCCGACCCGAGAAGTCCCGTCCTGTAAAAGTGCAACGCGAAGGCGCGTGCCAGCCGTTGAGAGAAGAAGGAGGGCGGTACTTAAAACAATAACCCAAAGAAAGTACATGATTTGCAGAGGGCGGCAACACCTGCAACAGTGAATAGAGATACGACATCACTAATCAAATAACGCCCTAAATCACCACTCCACTACACAGAGCCACTGGGCACCAGCAACATCCTGCAACTTTTCGTTGCTTGCATTAGAACGACGTCGCACTCCCTACCCTACCCCCCTGCTAATGCATTTCCGGTCACACTGCAGCAGCTGCAGCACATACGCCTCATTTGAATCTCCACGAAGCACGCTGTGGGCTATATTGCTGTGCCCACGCTCCAAGACCTGATACACCATCTTACGTTGTGTAAATGGCATGCATAACAAACAAGAAACGATGGACTCTTGTGTTGCAGCGCTACACACTGACCTTCGCAGTTATAACCCAGTCTAGCCGGACGCCATTTCCTTCTGTAGTGTGCAGCGCCTGTAGCTTCACGGTGGCGTTAACAGGGTATAAGTACTTCCCGTAAGACGCTTCAAAACCTCTAACGATGGGGGAACACATTTCAGCAAGACCGCTGCAAACCAACAACAGACAGCAAGCAGCAACCACAACAGGCGTCTTGGATTGGTGTATGCTATGAGATGTTGTTCACAATTCGTGCATGAACGGTGCTCTCGAAACGATCTCAGGTAGTGCTTACTTGCTAATCCTCATAAACCAGTGCACGCAGACACTCATACAGATCCCCAAAGTCCGTCCAAAGAGAAACGGTAACAGCGCCTGCAGCGCTCTGCCTTCAAGAAAAGGAAGGTGGTTGCATGCAGGCCCATAAGATATGTTTCTTTCTGCGGGCATGCCATGAGACGAAGAAGTCGTCCCGACAAAAACGGCTGTCTGCCCCATCGTTTTGGGGGCACTTTTACTCGATGCTTTCGACGGAGTGCAAGATCCCAAGGCTGAGTTCGGCGAAAGGGGACAGAACATTTCATGTTCCTCAGCACCCGCCGATGGAACACCAGCAGCGCGCCCCTCAGGGGCCCCTCTAGCAACACGTGTCTGGCGGGTCCCCACGGGAAACCCTGCTTTGTGCTGGTCCGCAATGCAAGCACCAGGTGGGCTTCTGCTGGAGTTCTTTTGCTGACTCCTGTCCTGCCTTGGTCTTTGAGCTCCTCCTGATGACGCGACGAGTGTCGCATCCAGCTGCTTCGGCCTGCTGCTAGGACCGGGAAACGCGCTCACAGCATATACCTTGCGTGTGCTGCATGCGGAACCTCCGTCGTTGCTGCCGCTACTGTTGCTCCTGCTGCTGCGGCTACTGCTACCGCTGATTTCACGCTCTGGCAGCTGCTGCTTGTGGGTCCCTGCTTTCCTAGACACCGTCGATGAGCAGTGTGACATCGACGGAAAGGGCTGGGGCGATTGCGCCCTCACACGAGGTGCCTTCTCCCTTGTGAATGACTGCGAGGGTCCACCCAAGATTTCTGAAGATGCTGCTGCTTCGAACTCGTCGGGAGCCCAATCTGAGTTTGTGTCGGTGGTTTCAGCGACACTGAGGGTAGGAGGGACGAGGGCCCCCGCAGCAACCCTGTTCAAAAGTAGTGGGACATTGGATCTGCATGGTTCTCCAGCAACTGGATTCTCCTGCGGGCGCCCCCCTGAGAGGGTTGCGTGCAGCTCTCCACCGGGGGCTCCCCAGCAGGCTGTAGCTTCAGTTGGCTTTATTTGACGGAGCTCCTGGGAAGGGGGAAAGCGGGCCTCTATGGAAGCCCGTACAGCCAAATACCCATCAAGAGGAATAGAGGGATGCGAAGGATGGTTGCCCATTGACTCGCGCCCCCCGAAGTTGCACTGAAATAGCAGCAGGGGAAAGACACCGCAGGGGAATGGGGGTTGCGCGGCTATGATGAATCCCCCCTCTCGCAGCAGATTCAAAGGCAGATGATCGTGTTATTAGGCAAACTCAAAATATGTGCAATGCTCATGGGCTCCTTTGAATATGTGTGCGGTGTCTTGGTCGTCAGTTTGCTGCTGAATCTGCCGCCGGCCAGAACGGGGCATTGTTGCACAAGTGCTGCTCTCCAGGCTTTCTCGGCGACTGTCTGAAGTAAATTAAAATACATAAGAGCAAAAGACATCTTGGGAACGAAATACACAAAGCCTCAGGCCCTCCTCTCCTGGATGGGCCTGCTTCGGGGGCCCAGCGGGCCTGCCGCCGGGTCCTGGCCGAACGGTGTGTTTGGGTCTTATTATATTCCAACAGAAGAGATTCTGTGAATTTCCCCACATAAAAGTTGGCAAGCGCCAAATTAAAGGCAAGAAATTCGCAGAAGTCCCGCCGGTATTGCACAACTGGTAGTAGAACGCTGCCAGCGGACCGCCTGCAACGGACCGCGTGCAACTGCAAGGTAAAGACAGAGTTCAGCGAACACGAAGTGTTGCGTGCCGCTATTCCTGTATTTCCTCTTCTCACATTGCTACCAAGTTGGTTCTGCAGACAATCAAGGAGTACCTACCGTACGTGTATCTGATGACACGGTTGAGATTTCTTGTTGCACGATGAATGAATGAATGCTGCAAAAGTTTCTAAAAGCTCAAGCAGGAAATTAAGTTGTACCACCATTCTGTAGGAAGCATTCACGAGCACTGGTGAAACAAGTAGACGCGGCTAGTAAATGGTGTGCTTCGCCATCGAAGCTGCGGTTTCTCTCAAGCCGGCAAAGCAGGGAGATGAGGGTGCGAAAGAAGCTGCACGCAGATGCTCTGCAGGCTTTAAGCCTTGTATCCTGTACGCTGAATTTGAAAGGAACGTTTCATAAGCTCCACAGTTGTGGGAACTATGTTGTTAAGTCTGACGAGGATGCCGTCGGGATGATGCCGGATTTGTCTGTTGCCCCAATTAGACGCTGTAGTCGCACTGATGCTCTAGCACGTGGGTACTTTAGTAGTCTGCTCACTTACTAAAAGTACGCTGCACCGCTCCGGCACAACCGGGTAATTTCAATGCCCCGGAGGGAGGGAGTTTTAAGGGCGAACTGATCGGTTCCCTGGAGAGGAACCAGGTCTGGGTTTGTTGTTTTGCAGCATCACAGAACGCTGCAGCATTAAACGTGCAACAAAAGCTTCCGCCTTTGCGCTTCCGAGGTACTTAGGTAGTCAGTTTTCTGAGTGGCCAGAGTACGAAAAGAGTGTATGATACTGAGCAAAAGAATCAATTCCTACGGTTTTTTAATGGGCCCAGGGAGCTGCCTCATCCACCTAAATCAAAACCAAACAGCTCCTTAGAGCAACCTCGAGTTCTATGGGAGAAACCCAGGGGGAGAACAGAACGGCCTTAATCGGCGTTCCTATGCGGAATTGAGAGTAAGTTGATTAGAAACAATGGGGCAGAGCAGCTTCTCTTCAAAAATCGTGTCATCTCTAAAGGTGGAAAGAGTTGCTTTCAAACAAACTCTCCCACGATTAGTACAAGTGTACTAGTAGCCTTGACATAAAATGTTAAAGCCACTGGACAACACCCCTATTAATCTGGAACAAGGAGTCGGTACAAATGACTTTGTTTCTGGTGGCTTCCTGGCTGCCTGCCAGTGCCACGTGAAAGTGCACAGTACCCCCTAACCCTCAAAGCGGGCCTGTTTAGCGTTGCGTGCCGCAACACAGTATCAGCGAAGCCGGGTTCACCCATGCTTCTGTCCCAGCATTAGCTCACCAGCATACCTGAACAGCAACAAAGTACCAGGGCTGCTCTGTGCTAAGGCTCGGACTAATAAGCCCTCGTACAGAACAAAAGAAGGAAAGGACGTGCAGGCAGTTAAAGCTTAGCAAACATACCTGCCCAATGCCATGACCGTGTAGACTGGGTTCATTCGGGTTAATTGAGGGAGAACAGAAGCATCAACAATAGAAAGCCCGTTCACACCCATGACTTGGAACTTGTCGTCTACCACTCTGCCCATCGGGGCGCTGCCGTAGGTGTGTCCGATGCTTGTCATGTAAGACAGAGCAAACTTTGCTAATGCTTTGGGGTTTTGAGAGCCTGCATACATGCTCAGCGCATTCGACAAAGACTAAGCAGAACAGGCAAAGATACTCACTGCGCCGCGGTTTTTCTCACAACTGGCTGCTGAGAGCTACCCACAACAGACCAACCATCTCCGTCCCCCACAGTGCAGATATTCGGGACATCATGCTCGTCAGCGTTATGCAGGTGTTGTGCAGCTGGTGCTAACAACACAGAGTGAGAAACAGACTAGGCAGCCTTGGAGGGTATGTCGCGGCCCATTGCTGGCTCGCAGGTTTTTCGCTTGCCACAGCGCTCAGCCCAAAGAATGGAGCAAGGAACTCTTCCTTCTTGACTGCACCGCCGCTGTCGGCAGCATCCGCGTTTGAATAGGGACCCTAAATAACACGAAGACACAAACAAGCATACCTGCTTTCAGGAGTGGCGCAGCATGTGCTGGCATCTCAGTTTCACTTACAGACGCAGAACATGAGCTTGTCTGCACAGGTGTTTTGCTGAGGGCTCCTCTGTAGCAGCTGCTACAATGGCGCAAGCATACTGTAGGCCACCCAAGTAGAACCTACAAACTCTCTCACTTTAATTTGTTGATCTGCAAGGGTTGGCTGGCCGGGGAGACGAATGCATTTGCTGTTTCCGTAAGTTGTGCAACAGACGTCCAGCTTCGCGCAGGTGTGGTTGTCGACGGCTTTCTGTGTGCACGGTTTCTTGCAGTCTTCAATGGCTTCTTGAAGGCCTGGCTCGTTGGGTGAGGCCCTAAGTATCTCTTCGGATTTGATGGACTCTGCAGCTTTCTTCAGCTCATCCATCTTCTCTGACCCCAACACCTTCTCCAGCTCAGCATCCAGGCGGCGACCAATGGCACCCAGATGTAGCGATGGATCCTTCGCAGACTCGTCAGTGCCCTCCACGTGGGCTCGATAAGACACGAAATCAAACCCTACCTACACGTACACCAGTTTATACACATGAAACGACAAATATGCAGATGACAGAAGCAAGCCCTGGTCTCAAATCAACTCATGATTATGCGTATACGCAAACGGAACAATTTGCCATTAGCTGTTTTCCTGACCTCTTCCAGTCGGCGCTTAATGCCCAGTTTCTCCATTTTTGCTTCGTCGACGTTGTGTTCAACGAAAGCACTGTAGTCTTCGTATTCGTTGCCTTCCTCGTCCTCGTAGACAGCCGGCTTCATGCGGTAGGCGTCGTTCACCACCATCAACCTCCTCAAGCGTCTGGACTCTGGGGGAATCAGGTCTTGCAGATACCTCTGAATTTCGGCAAAGTTGGAGGAGTGGGTTAGGAAGGGAGACGTAGTGCTGGCGAGAGTAAGAAGAATGTCCAGCAAGCCATTCAGGATTGCCAGTGGACACGATTTGGGGCCCTTTTCCTGGATAATACCCCTGCAGAGATATCAGCACAGCCCCCCACTTGAAGGTATTGAGAACGCCCTTCGTCGCTGCCACGGAAGAAGTCTAGTCGTTTTATAAAGGAAAGTGCCCTACATTAGTTTGCATCATGCCTCTATCAGACAGCTTGTCAACGCGGCTGCTTACCTGTAGCTTTCTCCGTTAATTTGATCGACCAATGTTGCAGTGCCGCGGATTGCATCGAACAGGTCTTGTTCATCCACCAGGTACTGTGGGTCAATGACCACTTCGCCCGTGGGCTTCAGTCGGATGCTTCCTCTTGATTTAGGCTCGGAGGTGAAATAGAACGGAGCAACAGCTTTTCTGCGAAGGAAAAACTCTAACAGCTTCAGCATCGCCTGACAAACGAAACTAAGAATTCAAACATAGGAGAACAACCTGCAGTGAAGGGCCTCCACAGCAGCACAACTCGAATGAAGTGAACCTTAGGCTGGAGTTGCTGCTAACCTGAGACATTTGACGACAGGCTGAGCAATAACACAGAGAGGCTTTAAGATCACAATGCCGAAGGGAGCACGGTAGTTGGAGCACCCCTGGAGAATCTCTGTTATGGCATCCAGGATTGGGTCCTTGCGAAATGCAGTGGGGAACATGTAGCGGGAGGCATAGATAAAACCTTCAGCTAGTCGGTCGCCAGACAACTCCTCCATTGTTACAAGAGAGCACCCGAGGTTGCGATCATTGATCCTGCAGCACATGGCTTACGCCAAGTTTTACAGGATGACGCGTGCACAGGCCGCGTATGCGGACGAGGAAGCTAGAAAGCTCAACTATCTGCTACTCCTGCCACCCTCAGCAGGTTGTGTGCCATTCTTACTGGTGTCCTTTGCAGTGGGGACCTATGTGCCTCAGGCCCATAAACTGACAGACACGAGGCTGTAGAGCGGGTGCAAGATATTGCAGCGGTCCAGGAAACATGAGATTATCGGGAAGGAGCACGGGAGGCTCGAACCCAGTTCTGAAAGCGGGATCATCGTCTTCGTCAATTGTTATGACTTCGACGGGCACATTTTGGTTCAGAATTTTGTTTACAGCATCTCGGACTTCCGGAGTAATCGCTTTCTCAAGCTGTTCTTGAGAAAGAATCGGCTCAAAAGATGGCTTAGAGATCAACCGTAGCTTCGTGACCTTTTGTGATCCTGGCTCTTCGTTTGCCGCAAGGCGGCGCAACGACCTGCTGGGATTAATGAGAGGGATGGCGTCGGTATAGTGCTTCAGAAAACCAGGGATAGAGAGGAAGACTCTGTCCGAGAACGCCGACCCAACAGCAGGGTTCTCTAGAATTTGAGGGACCTTGAGCAAGCTCAGCTGAATCGCTGGGCCGATGCCTGAAGAACATGCGTGCGTGATTCATACAAAAGTTGGGTATTCGGCCAGTCACGGTGTGCCAATCGAGGAAGCTGAATTGAAAGAGGGAACAACTGTGTCTGAAACTGCGACTTTCGTAGCACTAAAAAGATAGAAGAAGCGAAGATGCAGCTGCGCGTGAAAATGCGACTTCCATGACATATTCAAGAAACATCAAAAAGGGAAGAGGATATGACTGCGTGTTCAACCGAGGGGTCTTCAGCACCATATTCAAGAAACATCACCTGATCGGTAGAGCACAAGAGGCGTATGGACGGCCCCAGTGCTGAGAACAATACGGCCTGTCCCAGGATTAGAAAGGCAGACACGACGGAGATTCGTTTCGGAGTTTTCGATACCGGCGCCAGTCAGAACAGAAGTTGGCTCTAAGAAGGTGCCAACCCACGGTGCCCAGTCTGTTTGCAACACAGCAGCCACAGCCTCGGCAGGCAACAACAACAGACGTCCAACGCCAGAACAATAGACATCGCAGCAGCACAATGAAGGTCTGCAGCAGCGGCAGCTGCAAGGGCCGCAACAACATAAGCATCAAGTACTGCCCCAGCAACAGCGGCAGCCGCATGAGCAAGTGCAGGAGCAGCCAGCGGACAGGTCTCAATGCATGCATCTGTTGGTTCACCTGCAGCGGAAGATGGGAAAAGACTCCACAAGTCGCCAATTGGTCGTATATCTTGGTATTTGGTGGGCCGATAGACAACGCAGTTGGCTGTTTTTCTGTGAGGTGTATCTACGAAGGTAACTTTCTGCGTTGCAGTCATAGGGACACCATGCAGCATTGATCTTCAACTGGAAGTGCATCTCGTGATCGGTTTAACAGCAGTTCCACGGGCGGCTGGGAGTGCGGTTGTTACTGTTTTGTTCAATAGAAAGCTGGCTGACCCGGACGGTGTGTCGAGTCTTGATGTGGAGGTTGGGCAAACGCTCGAGTAGTGCGTCGGAGGCGTTTCTATGGAAGTCGTTTCTAGAATCGAAGAGAGAGTACCCAACCCACTGATACCCAGGCCGAACGTACAAACTCGGCTCAGGATAAGCCCCTCCTCCCCAGTACTTGTAGCCTGTTGATGCTAAAGCGTCGCTGTAGGCGTTCCCGAAAGGAGGTAGCACAGGCATGGCCCTGGCGAGTTTCCACGCCACGTAGTCGTACGCCTGCATGCATGCAGAGAACGCCAGGCCACCTGTTCTTGTGCAGCTACTCTCTAAATGCACCCTAAATCCGTCCCTGAAGTCAGCAAACGATTCTGTTTTGCGCTTCAGACAGTGCTTGATGAGGCGAGGGCGCACTCGCTTCAACCTCCCGTAGTCAATGTTATATCCAGGGAACTGGCGAGCCATCTCTCTAAAGTAGTCTTCAGTCTCGCCAATCACAATTCCCAAATTCACGGCACTGCCGCCACCCATGACTGCTCCCGAGAAGGTTCGAACACCTTGCACCGTACCAACAGGCTGGGAGATGGTTGCATCGGCGAGGCCGATTCCTGAGGCAGCCGCAGACAGACAGCTGGAGTTGCGGATTACGCACCCAGTCGGCAAGTGGCTATTTTCTCCGCTTGTTCGGAAGGCAGGAAGGCTGCCTTCGTTATTCTTGCCTCGTGCATCGACAGAAATTTTCACCTGCCCCTCTGGCGCTCATAGCGTTTGGAGATGTAAACTTTGTGCGTTGCATCCCACGTTCCAGGAGGAGAACCTTTTTCCCAGCTGACGTCCACAGGAGCGAGACGAGCAAAGTCGAAATGAGAAAAGGAAAACCACAGCTGTGCTTGTTGAACTTCCAGGGGTTATTGAAGGGGTGTGCATGGCAGGAACAAGTGAGCGGTGAGTGAACTGCAGTGGAGCGGTGGAAGATTGAAAGCGTTGGAAACAGCTTAACTCCGATGCATTGGGGGTACAAAAAACTAACATTGGGAAAGAATATCTGCAAGGGCGCAGCCAGCAGCTCCTCCACCGACTATGATGAAGTCAAATGTTTCCTCATCAACTGGAAGTTGTTCAACAAAGGAGTCGGGCAGGTATTCGGGATCTCTTGAAAAGAATCCTCCCGACACTTCTGAAGTAGAAATACACAACAGACGGTAAAAGCAGAAGAAATATACAGTGGTGTATCGACTATGGTAGCCCTTAAACCCCTGTTGAATAGATCACGCACCAACAGGGTCCAGCGAGAAGTCTGCGCCGGCGATGGCTTCCAGTGCCGTTCCAATAAACCGTTGAGGAGCAGTCGTTTCCTGGGATTCTAATGAGGTGTCTGTACAGGCAAATGTGAAGACAAGCGTTGCCGTTTTTAGTGGGCCTTTTAACACGCAGGCGTTCATTGCCTTGGGCGGTTCAGCTACTACGTCTGTATATCGGCAACGCAAAAAAACCACAATTGCTCAGTGAACTTACCTTGAGACAGGGGGCTCACAGGTGTGTCCACTGCTGGCTCAGCTTTTGAAACTGCTGCCGCTTCTGCTGCTACTGCCGCTGTTGCAGCAGCTGCTGTGAGTAGCAGCGCACGGGCTGCCCTCCCCGCTGCCATTGCTAGTACAGCGGATATCAATGCTGGCAACGAAGAAGAAACGGAGACTTTACACAGTGCTTCTGCACGCATGAGAAAAGGAAGACTTTTATGGTTTAGGGAGACAAAATCTCAGCATGATGCAGCTCAATGCAGCGAGAAAGAATCAAACAAAATCAACACAATAGCACATGATGCGCCATGCGCTTACTATATTCCCCTTAACCCGCTGGACTTTACTCGAACTCTGTTCAGTTTATCACTTTGAATGAGCCATAGCAGCCGAAATGCGTATGCCGGCACTCCCTCTTGGAACGTAAGCGGAGCCCGACCAGTGGCGACACGGTGCAACACTGCCACTCCTGGCTTAGTGGCAGGTGTTTACGCACAAAAGTGCCTCTAGAAACACCGCTCGCCTATGTTCTTCTCACTAATTTCAAAAGAAATGGTTGGAAACCGCTCGTTTGCGGGTGTTCTGTGTGGCAGCTGCTGGGATCGCCGGCAGTGTGCAGATGTTGTGCTCAGCTCGCTTCGGCCGACAGTTGATGAATGCCTAACCTGGGCGGGGAGACACCTTTAAGACTTGAGAATAAAGGTTCCTTCACGAAATATTGTAAGAATATGATAGGGCTTTGTATTTACTTGGAGGGACGACAGTATAGAGCAGCAGGAGAGTTGAGCATTGCTACCGTCACTCCAACCGGTCAGGGTCACCACCAACCGAGACGGCTGGGCGCAGCAGCTCTCTGGATAGGCACTAACGTGCTGTGTTCAAGAAGTTGAATGGCCTTCAAAGGCATTAATAATTGCATGGCCTTGGCATTTCGACAACCTCAATGGAATATTCGCAAATGACCGTCGTTCGCCGCTCCTCCAGTGGAGCTATTCCCCTGCTCGCTCAGGAGGTGGCAGTCACCACGGGTGGTGCTCCGAGGTACGCCTCACTGGCGACTGTCAAAAAACTGATTCTATACTTAATTGTTGTTCACATTAATTCTAGAATGTACAATGTGTCAGCGCTAGGCCTGCACCGAAGGAGCAGGCGGGCTAGCCTCCTCTCGCCAAAGTGCTAAAAGCGACAACTGTCCCCTCCTAAGCATTCACTTTTGCCCCAAGCCGTGCAAGAAGCTGCCAGCATACACCTAAATGCTCTCATGCCCTGCGCTATCGAGTCTTGTCTTTAATGCAGAGATGAAGCCGTCGGCCTTTTGATGCATGCCTGATGAAGCAGCTCCGCCTGCTGCCCCCATTGTCGCTGGACTCGGCTGTAAGGGAACCACAGTCTAAACATTCATGCCACGTGCTCCTGCATCCAGCTGATTGTCATTCATTGCAAATTATGTATGCTTTTCTTTCCTATGCATCTCCACTATTTTACGCCTCTGTAGTGAACTTAAGGGGAGAAGCCCCTCAGATGGCTGCCTGTAGATCCTAAGACGCTCGGAAGCAAGTGAAGGGCTCCTTTTGAGTTCGCTGGTTCTAATTCAAAACAACCTCGCCACACTGAGATACTGAGTTGCAACTTAATAAAACGCCTGGGCTAGGAGCAAAATGTGCGGAAAGAAGACAATCAGTGGACTTGAAAAATTTGAAAAGTCTCATTTTTTCATTTTGGGTCTGCGTAATTCTTGAGCAGCTTCTTCCAAGCATTTACTTCACGTATCTACGCGACAGATCCAGTCTTTTAGATGCAGAAATCAGAAAAGCTTTATTTTCCTCTTTCCACATAATAATAGCCTTCGGGCTCAACAAACAACACCTGTCCGACTTTGAACGGTGTGTGCAACACAAACTGCAACGCATAGCTGAAAAATCATTCCATTCAACCAAAACACTCGCCACACATCAACCTGATGATTGAACAAATCAAACACCTTTTCAGAAACGCTGAAAAAATTACACAAGCTCACGCCGCTTAACAGCCAATGCAACAAAATCCGTGCGGTCAATAAGCGTGTTTGCTGGAAAAACTCCACCATCTCATAAATACACATGCGAATGATTCCCCTTCATTAATTCCCACCCCGGCACATGCATGATTTTGCACCTTTGCAAGTACTGATAACTCTCAAGTATACCTCTCTGTATATAATACATGTGCATTTATGTGTATAATACATATGCATCGAGAGATACATGCTAGAGAGAGATACTGAACACGTTCAAATTCTGGTGCACTTTATGGAAATAACCTCAACGCATGTTTATTTCAAACACGGGAAAGGAAAAACCGCTGAAACTGCCGAAGTCCTTCCAGCGCCCGCCTCCACGTTGCCAACCCAGCGTCAGTATCATAAGGCGTAATCTGATTCGGAAAATGGCGATGAGTGGCCTCTGCGACGTTGCTCATTAGACGAAATCGCCCTGCAAAGCACACGGAACCCATCTGACTCGAAAAAATATATACTATGTATAGTAGGAGTCATACAGACGTTACATAATACATGCATATGCGCATGCATTTATATGCACAAGATTGGTGACTTGAGACGACAAAAGAAAAATGGGTGCGTTGGGACATTAATCCCTGTCCGTCAACCTCCGATGAAATTCAAATGGGAAGCACTGCACCTGGAGCATGACAACCAATCACACAGTCGAACAAGCAGGCAGCCAACCAAGCATACTGACCTGGGTCTGCATGTTGAACAAACAGAGAAAATTTGCGTTCTTTGCACAACTCCTTGTGTGCCTCAGGATTCAAGTGCCACTCCGCGACCACGAGGAGGTCTTGTAGCATGTTGTCACTGAACAGAAACCCTAAGATATTAAAAAATAAAGGCCCGTAGCGTTCTTCTAACATGCTCCTTAGGTGCGCCCGTTCGCTCTCGTCCATTATCTTGTGATAATACGCATCAGCGTAGCCCCGACGGTCCTGCTGCAGCAGCTTCTGCCGTGTTGCAGCATCGCCTTCGTGTGGTGCATTGATACCAGGGAATAACACGGGAGGCGAATCGTTGGAAGGCGGCTTCTGCTGCTCTCCAGCGCGCAAGGCCGGCTCCACGGGAGGATCTTTAATCTGTGCCTTAGGGGGGCGAGTCACGATGCTATGTACCGCGCCCTCGTACTGGGGTGCCGCCAGGACAACGTTCTCTTGCTGTTGTTGTTTCTGCTGCATCAGGAGCTTCGCCTGCTGCTCTTGGATGCGGCTCTGCTGTTTCTGTTGGGCAGCGATGCGCCGCAGCAGGTGTTGCTGCCGAGCTGCTTGCTCCTCAAACTCCCGCCGTAATTTTTCTAAGAGGGGTGTTGATGCCACATCATGCACAGCTGTGCTGTTGCCTTGGGCTGGGGACGGTTCATTAGTTGATGCCGCACCAGCCTCTCCAGAAAGAGGAGGTCTGTGATGATCTGCAACCGCTGCATCTGCATTCGCAGCTCCCCCGTGGGGAGGTGTGGTGAACTGCTTTGCTTCTGCAACCCCTTCTTGCTGCTGCTGCTGCTGCTGCCGAAGCATCTGCTGCTCGTGCACCGTGGGGGCGGGGGACATTTTAACCGGACCCGGCAGCAGCCCTGGAAATGCCTCTATAGGATCTCTGGTGCGGGAGGCAGAAGGAGTGGGGCTGCCTTCTGCTCTGCTAGAGCCTTCGCCCACCATGGCGGAAGCAGACTCATCTCTTGGTCCTGTTTCCTCGACGTTTGTATCTCCGCCTCTGCTCTGGCTGTTAATTACGTCTTCTAAAGGACTGCTTAGCGACCAGCCCTCCCCGTACAGCTGCAGCTCCTCCTCGCCTGATTCGTCTTCGTTACGCGAGAGGCGCCTCCGCCGCAACCCCAGAGTTTCTTCGAAATCCGCCAGTGAGTGGGCCGCGCGTTCATCACCGTCATCCCGTTCTTCCCCTCCCCCCAGCAGCTCACGAAGGGTCAGTCCAATGCGCAGTGCGTAGGCCTCCATCTCCTCCTTTCCTGCGGAATGCGGGAAATATGTTTGAGGATACATCTGGCAGAACATGTCTGCATACTCCAACATTGGATCATCCGAAGGCAGATGCAACGAGGCAGTGGCCGCTCTGCATTTCTCCTGTTGTTCCACTGCTTCCTCGTGGGATCTTAACAGCAAATCCATCAAATTCCCCACGCTCGTCGTTATTGGCCAAGAAGGGCCCACGCGATCCAACCAATCATGAAGTCGTTCAACATCCTCGCGAAGCGCCGTCATGTGGCCGGCAAGTGCAGGCTGATGCATCGGTCCCAGTGAACGCGCGTCTACGATTGTCTACAACCCACACAAAAACGCACAAGCCCACATACTCATGCACACATATATTCAAGCAGACCATGCAACAGGAACATCTAATAAACACACATATAAGCGGTTGCAGATGCAGATTCACAACGGCCTCCCCTAAACAGAGCAACCGAACCGAACAGCCCCCCCAACTCAGCTAAGCAACAAGGAGAAACCAAGCAATAAGCGAAACGAATTCGAAAAGAGGCGAAACTAAACAAACAATTAACTAAATAAAAACATGTATATACCTGGCGAATGATCTTCGTTAGGCCGGGGCTCTTCAGGTGACCTAAAATATATGCAGGCAACGCCGCTCCAATTGCAGTGCTGCAATATGCAAAGCATAAAACCAACAATACGTAAATGCGTCATATATGACGCTTCACATTCAACAAGATGCAGTTCTATATAAACACATCTACCGAGTAAAACTGTATGTCCATTATATAATACACGTATACGTTTGCGCATGCCGCCAGAATATACTATGCATGCATACACCTATATACATGCGTGAATGTGAACTCATAAAATATAACAAATATATACAGACATGACAAGTGTGCAAATGCACATTCATACAGGTACACGCATGCACACTGCGGCGTCAGTGTAAATGTTTTGTCCTTAGATTCGTGGAAGCTGCTCACGTGTAAAGTACAATAGGAATCCCTAGACAGTTCATTGGATCTCCTGTGTGCTGCAGCAATTCTACATTGACAACTCTTGTTTGCCTTGCCGAGTTATCCATCATCATTCGTACTTTTTGTACCTGTACGAAGAGGATGGGAAGATCAGCTGTTAGCCGTTTCTCTCCTTTTGTATCATCAAATGCCGCCCATAAATATTTATCAATTACTTGACGTAATTTTTTCGCTATTTCTATCCCAACTGTAGTCTTCACCTCCTCAGGCACGCGATCCGAGCTACCCGAAAGGTGCGGACCCGACAGAGTCACGACAAAATCCAGTCGGGCTCCTCGCATAGACCGGCTGTCACGCCTAAACAATCCAGCAGCAGCAGCAGCAGCAGCAGCAATAGCAGCAAAAAGATGCAGAAATGGATAGTTCGTCGTATACTACTGTCGCACTTATTGAACAAACAAACAGGAACGAACCACCATGACACGAAGCGGTGCTGCACTACATTGCACCATCCCTACGGCCCTATACCCCTATAAAGAATATATACATTGAATAATAATATATATTATATACATTATAATATATATATTTATGTATATTAAGCAGCTATACATACATATGCCCTCTATGCGTACCTGAAGGTAAACTCGCGAACTCTATCACGAGAAGAAGTGTTTACTTTCCTGTTTTTACGACTTGTGCTGTTAACCTCAGCAGCAATTGTTAAATAAGCACCAAATAATCTTCCTGGTTCTGCTGCTATCATTGATGCAATAGTTGCGTATTCACTGCAGCAGCAGCAGCAGCAGTAATACAAAGCAATCATGTTGTTAATAAACTACTCAATACAACAACCAAATGACAGGACGGACAGTGTGTAGGCACCATAAGAAAAAAAAATAAGATGCACTCTCCTTCTCTCTCCCCCTATATATAAGTATACAAAGATATAAATACACACAAATACAATAATATGTACATAAAATATGCATGCATGCATGCGTGCATGCATGCATGCAACTTACGAGGTCCTGGAGCTGCCTAGGTATAATAACTCTGATGAATATTCTGCTGCACTGTTGCTGTTTTGCAGCAGCATATCATCAATAACGGAGGTAAGAGCAACAGTCTCGCGACCTATAAGGAAAAAAGAAGCAAATAGCAGCAATAAATTAAATATAATTAATTTATACTTATTTTTTTATCTTTTTTATTTAATTATACAAAAAAAAGAGGTAATTATATATACTACTCACTCGCCGTGCTGCGCGCAAAGAAGCCAATGGGGCCCGCTCCCCATGGCACAGCATTCATGCCACGGAAGTCGCAAACGCTGCTGCTGCTGCTGCTGCTGCTGCTGCTCATGAAGCCGCTGCTGCTGTTGATATAGCCGCTGCTGCTGCTGCTGATGCTGCTGCTGCTGACGCTGTTGCCGCTAGATAGCCAAGCTCTCTCTAACAGCTCCTGCACAAAGCCATTTGCTCCTTCAACTCCTTCCCGTGCTGCAGTGGACAGCAGCACCATGGGCCTCTTCGGAACAGCAGGAGCAGCAGGAGCAGCAGGAGCAGCAGGAGCTGCTGCTGCTCCTCCAGCAGCAGCAGCAGATGATGATGATGAGGCCTCAGGGGGCCCCATGGCTAACTGCAACGCGAAGGCCCCCATACCAGGGTACGCCACTCCGCAAGGAACTCGCGGATCGCTTTGTCTTGCATCGCCGAAGCACACTGCACATACACCGCAGCAGCAGCAGCAGCAGCATGCATGCATGCATACATACACGGAAGCAGGCAAATAAATACAGGAAAAAAATAATAAATAAATTTCTTACCTCCTTGGAAGAGCGCAGTGTCACCAACAGCAATCAATTGAACTTGATTAGGTTGTGCGTCTCTCCATGCGCTGAAGTGTCTGCTGCTGCTGCTGCTGCTGCTGCTCCCTCTTTGCTTTCCTCTATAGGCTGCTAATGCTGCTGTATGTGAATGTCTAAGGGGAACAGTACTATCAGAGAGACGAGCAAAAGACAATCCTCCTAGCTGCAACCCTCCTGCTGCTGGTGCTGCAGGATCTGCTGCTGCTCCGTCCTTTGACGGAGCAGCAGCAGAACGAGAAGCTGCCGCTGCTGCTGCTGTTGTTGCTGCACTCGTCTGAGGATCTACAAATATAGAGGAAGCAACACCCCTACGACCCTGCTGCAGCTGCGATAGAAGAACAGGACCCTGAGTTAACGATGGAGGCTGTGGCTGCTGCTGCTGCTGCTGCGGCGGTGGCGGGAAGAATTGATGCTGTAGATGCTGCTGTTGCTGCTGTTGCTGCTGTTGCTGTTGCAGATGCTGGTGATGCTGTGTCCGTTGCATGGGTTGCTGCTGTATCTGCAAATGCTGCTGCTGGTATGTTTGCTGCATCTGTTGCTGCTGATGCATCTGTTGCTGCTGATGCATCTGTTGCTGCTGCATCCTTGGGAACACCGCTCCAAAGGTCTGCTGCTGACCATATGCATTTGCTGCTGTAGCTGCTGTTGCTGCAGCTGCTCGCATCTGCGGGAACGCAGCAGCATCGGCACTCCCCTGCATACCATAGGGGCCCAAGGAACCTAGATCAGGTAATGGTCTTAATTCGTTTCCTTGATTAGCATTTGCATGCGTAAAGGTAGGGTTGCTGCCTTTGGTGCTGCTAGCTGCATTTTGCTGCATTTGCTGCAGCAGACTGGGGGCAACTGGGGGCCACTGGGGGCCCCCTGCTGCAGCTCCCTGCATACCATAAGGAGGGTTGTTGCCACCATAGTATGCTGCTTCTGTGGGACTAAATAAAAGGAAACAAGCTGCAGCAGCACCAACAGCAGCAGCAGCAACAGCAGCAGGTCTTAAAGAGAAGAGACGGCGAGTTGAGGACGGGGAGAGCGGGCGCTCCCCCGCCGCGCAGACCATGGTGATGAGGGCAACAAGAGGGATTATAAAGAGGTAAAAAAAGGAATAAAGGAATAAATAAATGAATAAATAAATGTAAAAAGAAGAAACAAATAACTTTCTGTTGTTTTTTTCCTCATTAACTACATCATCGATAGAGGATCGGGAGAAGAAGGAAAGCTGAATAAGCCCCAACTGTAACACGCGACGGTGCTCTTATGATCATTATTCTTTATTTTATACAATAAATAAATAAATAAATAAATATATTCTTAATTATTTTATTTATTTTATACAATTAATTATTATTTATTATAATATTACCTTCTTTCCCTTCCTTTCTGTGTGTCCTGTGTGCCTATATGTACAGCCTTAAGTTCCATTTCGTGTTGCAGCAGCAGCAGCAACAGCAGCAGCAGCAACAGCAGCAGCAACAGAGACAAGTAATAAGACTCTTTCCTTTAATTAAATACTCTTTATTCTTCATCAGCAACAAAAGGAGAAAGGTATTTGTCTTGCTTCTTAATGGTGCAGCAAATGTATATGTTGTTTGTATATATACAACATATGCATATACATATACATATACATATATATACGTACATGTACAAGTTGTATATATATATACGTATATACACCTAATTTACGGGGAATTTACATATTCTTTTGTTTATTATAATTATAATTGTAATTAATAAATATATAAATATAATAATAATAAAAAAAAGAACAATAATTATCTACTAATAATAACTACCTGCATGCATATATACCTCTTATGTATACACCATAAAGAAAAATAATTTTTTTTTTCTTTTTTTATTATTATTTAAAGACCCATGCATGCATGCATGCATGCATGTATTTTTTATTGCTCCTTTATGTATAAGAAAGGAATAAATAATATACGTTATGTATATTTATTTATTTATTTATTTATTTTCCTCCCTTATAATAAAGAATAATAAATTATTTATATTATTATGCCTTTTATGCCTTTATTATTTCTTTTTTTCTTCTTTTTTCTTCTTTTTGTTGTTATTTTGTCTATTAAGTGTATAAAAAAATTTATTTATTTATTTATTTATTTATTTATTCTTCCTCTTCTTCTATTATTTATTATTACTTATATCCTCTATACTGTCTCCCTATGCACACTATTATTATATACATAATATTCATAAATAAATAAATAAATAAATAAATAAATAAATAAATAAATAAATAAATAAATAAATGTATATATATTGTATACAATTACTATATAGATAGGTACTGACGTGTCTATACAGCAATATTATTAATTATATATAATTATATTATTTATTTATTTATTTATTTGTTTAATTTATTTATTTATTTATTTATTTGTTTATTTCTCTTAATAAGAAGAAAATGTTGCTTATTTAAGTTTAATGTAGCCAAGAAATAGAGAGACAGAAGAATAAAAACCCTAAACCCTAAACCCTAAACCCTAAACCCTAATTACCTAATAAAGGAAAAAGCAACAAAAGAAAGACATATTAAGAGGAAGAAAGAAGAAAAAAAAAGAGCAATAAAAATAAATTATTAGATAAATTGATAAGAAGAAGACATAAACAAGAAAAGAATAAAGACAGCAGCAAGAAGTGTCTATATAAATAAATTAAGGGTTTAGGGTTTAGGGTTTAGGGTTTAGGGTTTAGGGTTTACGAGTTGACTGCGTATACACCCAACATATTTAACTATATTCATATTTATTGTTTATTAGAAAAAAAAAGAAAAAAAAAATTAAAGTTAGTTAAATATATGCTGCAGGCATATATAATTACCTGCTGCTGCTGCTGCTGCTGCTGCTGTTGCTGTTGCTGCTGCTGCTGTTGCTGTTGCTGCTGTTGGTATTTCTGCCTTAAGACAGATATACAGACATAAGAACAATAAAAAAAAAGGGAAATAAAAAAGTAAATAATAATAAATATAGTAAATAAACAACTATATAATAATAATAATAATAATAATATTTATTTATTTATTTATTTATTTATATAACCTTAAGAATAACCTTTATATGTGTAGTAGGCCTCCTTCTTATATTTAGTCTTCCTCTTGCCTTAAAGAAAGGCCTCTTAAATACAGGACCATTTGTAGCAGTAACTGATACAAGTTCGAGTCTTATTTGCTGCTGCTGCTGCTGCTGCTGCTGCTGCTGCTGCTGCTGTTGCTGCTGCTGCTGGTGTATATGGAGGGCATTAGCTACTGCAGACTCTATTGCCCTAAATACTGCAAAGGCAGGACGACGAGGAGAAGTCGCTAAATGGGCAAGGGCCCCCCCTAAGGATTTATTACGTATTTCTTGTATAACACGTCTTGTCTTTATAGGGGATAAACGTACATATCTTGCATTACATTCTATATAAGAAGAAGGAGGAGAAGGGAACGGATCTACACTCCTACTCCTGCTGCTGCTGCTGCTCTCTTCTCCACTGTGGCTATCTCCTATAGTTATTGGATCAAGAGGAGAAAGGAAAGAAAGTTTTGCATAGAGAGAGGAAGAGGAGGGAGAGGAAGGAAGAGAAGAAAAAGGATTTAATTGAGGTAATAATTGATTAGATGTTGAAGAAGAGAAAGAAGAAGAAGAGGAAGAAAACTTCAATGGGGAAAGAGAATTACTTTTGCTGCTGCTGCTGCTGCTGCTATAAGAAGAGGAGGTTGCTGTTAAGGGAAGAAGAAAGTCTTGCTGCTGCACTACAGAAGGGAGAAATGCAACACTTTTAGCAGGAGGAGAAGAAGAAAATAATAATTTTTGTTTATTAATTAAATAAAAAGAAGATTTAGGCTTGAAGGAATCTGCATAAACGTCAGGTGTATAGGATAAAAGAATAGAAAGGCATGCATATATGCGCAGCATTGCCCATGCATGATTTACTCCTAAGCGCATCGTTGTGAGCACAAAGGAATAAAAAAAAGAAAATAAAAAGAAATAAATTAATCCATTTTATATATTTAAAATAGACAAGAAGAAAGACGCAAAAATAATAAACATGACATATCTATAACTATAGAACGATAGAGCGCATGCACTCCTCAGGTGTATGTACACCTGACCGTTGTTGAATAAATAAGAAATTCAGCTTTCCTTCTTCATCATTTATATTGTCTTCTTTATTTACAGGTATAATTTATATAAAAATAAGTTATATTTTATTATAATTGTATTTATTTATTATTTGTTTAGTTGTTTATGTCCTTTTTTTGTCCTTTTGTCTAGTCATTATTAAGGTTTCTTCGTTCTTGTTTGTCATCATCATCAAGAAGAACACAACAGGTAAACAAACAAACAATTTAGTTGTTAAATACATTAAAATTATATATTTTTAATTTAAATACATTTCTTTTTCTTTATTTTTATTCTTTATTTATTTTTTATTTAATTTTTTCCTCCCTTGTAGACAGATGCCATACATTTGTCATGTCAGTCTTATACACACTGGTCTTCTTTCTGTTTATAATTAGGGTTTAGGGTTTAGGGTTTACAATTATGTGTATTATATCTTACCAAGAGTATTATTATGCTTATACATAATACAATATATACATGTATATATGTATATATGTATATATGTATATGTATCTCTTTGTTGCAGTTTAGTAATAAGTCCTCCCTTTGCGTCCAATTAGTATTATAAAGATGGAGAAAGAGAAGAATATAAATATAAAGGAAGAAGAGAAGGAGGAGGAGGAAGAAGAGATGAGAGAAGAAGAGGAAAAAGAAAAAAGAGAGGAAGAAGAAGAAGATGGATTAATATTAGTAACAAATACAAGAGGAAATATACCATTAAATGTAGATATAAATAAAATAATAGAAGAAATGCATGCAAGAGTAAAAAAAAGAAATATATTATTCCCTGAATTTATTCAATCTTTTTCTGAGGTTTTTTTTTCCTTAAAAAAATTTCTGTATAATTTTCCTGTATATATACAAACTCTTGAGGCATTAGCAGAGCCTGATAGATTTATTTCTTTTAGAGTTCCTTGGTTTGATGACCAGGGGAACCTAGTAAGTCTTTTTTATACTTATTTTCTTATTTATTATCTTATACACAACAATTCTATATATTATATACATTATTTACTTCTTATACATGTATTATATGTATATATGTATATATGTATATATGTATATATGTATATATGTATATATGTATATATGTATATATGTACATATGTATATATGTATATATGTATATATGTATATATGTATATATGTATATATGTATATATGCATATATGTATATATGTATATATGTATATATGTATATATGTATATGATTTATGTATTGTATATTTATTTCCTATAGGGGTAACGATAGAGAATAAAGGGTATAATATACAATATAATTATATATTATAAAGGATATATTAATTAATTAATTAATTAATTAGCTAAATTAATTAATTAATTTAATTAAATTAATATAATTATGTTATGCCTGCATGCAGAAAATAAATAATGGTTACTATCTGTGTCCAGTACAGTTCTGTGTCTTGTGTCTATATATATAAGGGACATTTTAATTAAATAAATAAATAAATAAAATAAATAAATAAATAAAATAAATAAATAAATAAATAAATAAATAAATAAATAAAATATATTTGTGTATGTATGTATATATACTATGGATGGATGCAGCAAATAAATAGTGGTTACCGTGTACAGTATAGCTCTGCATTAGGTCCTTATAAAGGAGGATTAAGATTTACTCCTTCTGTTAATTTATCAATAATTAAATTCTTAGGGTTTGAGCAAACCCTCAAGAATAGTCTGACGGGTTTATCAATTGGAGGGGCAAAAGGAGGTGCAGATTTTA